TATTATTGGTGTTTTAGTGTTTGACCTGCAACACTCTCTTTTTTTCTCTGCTCACTTTTCTAGTGTACATTGACACTTTTATTCTTTTTAGTGCATTTCCGATCCCTTCGAATATCTCAAAATGGTAAGTTGAATACACAATTTTCGTACAGTTGTGCATTTGTATTTAAAATTTTCCAACATACGTTTAAGTCCACCTATTAAATTTAATGATTTACTTGAGTTGGCATTGTTTCACTTCGTGACTGCAATCATACTTTTTTCTCAATGCAGCAATCTTTTCAGCAATTCTTGTTTGCTGTTAATAAAAAAAAATATTTAAAAATTGTTAAACTTTGACCAACCAGGTAACAGAACCATAAGTGACCAACCGAGATAAAGAGAAACCTTTAAAACCCTGAGTTACAGCAGTCATTTCTGATTTGATTCGCTTGATTTGCACATTAAAGGCGATGACAAAGACATGATAAAAATAGAAAATGGTGGTGTGATTTAAATTATCGAGTAAGTAAAGTTGCATTATGCAATGACTCTTTCTGTTCAACTTCATCGATCAACGACCACCAAGTGTGTTCCGTGAACTTTCCACTGTCTGTCTGTCTATAGACAGTCTGCCTGAGCAATTAACTCCTTGATCATGTTAATCAACAATGTGCACTCACTGCAATGACACACACTGGCACTAAAGGTTTTCAGATTACGATCATCAGCCTATCACTCTAAAAAATAAAAGGAAAATTTATTCACAAAAGATATGAAATGTGAATATACGCTCTTAAAATCTAGTTAGGGAAATATTTTTCCCAAAAATAATTGGGAAATATAGTTTCTACCTTAGTTTTTGCAGGACCTTTTCCAGTCCTTTCACTTTTTTACCCTTTCATGCAACTCCTTTTTAAAAGACATGTTACTTTTAGTTAATGATTTAATTGATGAATGATAAATACTAAAGAAAAACATATGAGCATAAAAAACAAACAGTAAAATAATTTAGCTCAAAAATACATAAGATGAAAGTTGAACGATTTGAAAGGGCTGACTTGTGAGCAGTTGAGACTCAACTGTTAAGTTATTCTTGTTATTGTTAGAAATGGGCATTTTGTGCTTGGAAACGATTGAAAAAATTGAAATGCAACGATTGAAAACAGATTACAGTTGCAGGTAAAGTTCATCGTTCTTGCTTGCACAGGTTTTTGTTAGTTGATAAGTAGGTTTTGAGTTGCTATATACATCATTAGTAAGAAAAAACTGTTGGGAAACAAAAAGTATATTTTTCTAAATTTCCTCATACGCCAATACATTGAGAATTAGCTGGCAATACTGTACTTTGAACTAGATCTTTCACATTCAGAAGACAGATTTAAGCGAAAAAGTAGGTTTTTGAACTCTGAACAACACCAGCATTTTGAGAAAAGTTTGACAATGATGAAAAGTTAGATGAATGTTTGCACACGATAGGGAACGACTGGTAGGTTTATCTTCAGCTGCTTGCTCCAGTTTGGCAGCATTTTTTCCAAAACGTTTCAAACCTAGAAAAACATATGTTAAAAAAATAAACAAGTATTTTGGTTACCCGGTTGATCCGACATCTTCAGACGACGATGTACTTTATATCAGGAAGATGTTCTTCTGACGAGAGAAAAGGTTTTTCAGATTGAGAATCTTGGCGATTGAGCAAAGTAACTTGAAATGATTTGCTCAGACTTAGAGCAAAAAATGATGAAACAGCAGACAAATTCTGCTGCAGAAGTTTTTTGTTTTGCCAAAAAATAGTCCATTCACACACAATGTAACTGGTATTTGGGAAATATTTTTCCCAAATACAATTTTTGGTACATAAGCTGCCCTNTCATGTTAATTAACAATGTGCACTCACTGCAATGACACACACTGGCACTAAAGGTTTTCAGATTACGATCATCAGCCTATACGTGTAGTGATGGTCATAATAATTAACTATTCTCACTGACCACTCTCGGAAATCACTTACCATCAACAGCCAGCTGATATTTTCTGCCTGTCGTTTCGTGACTTTCAATTAGCTGCTCTTACTATCGAGAATATACCATTTGCACGTGACAACTGTTCCATGCAGCTGTGTGAGTATGATGTGCAATGCATCATCCTCTATGAACTCGAGGCTCTTAAGGCCACGGTGTTCTCTCCCCTTATTCACCAATTTTTCAAGTAGTTCTTCTTTGTTTTGATGAGCATTTTAATAAGACGTAGTGTAGCAAAGGTACTTTCGACCAGATGGTGCTATGAAATTAGCCAATCAACACTGTACAGTGTTTTCAGTTTTCGACTTTGTTAGTGTCGTTTTCTGAGGGCTCTCTCATTCAGTCATTGCAATTAGTGTACGTTGTGTTCATTCTGTCCATTCGCCACTTTCAGCTCTGTTGCGCTATCACCCACGGTAACGGTGCCCAAGAAAGAGAGAGTGAAGACACAGGTACACAGTTGATTCTGGGGCAAAAATTGTGTAGGAAAATGTGCCCCGGTTGAGGACTGACTGGTTCAGTTCTCACTTTCTCAGTGTGTCCCACCTAACTGTTGGCTCCTCGGTGCCCCACTGCACTGCAACACTTAATCGATACCTGTCTGCAACACTGTGTGTGTATGTGTGTGTGTGTTTGCGTGATCAAGATACCTCTTCTTCTTTGTTGCTAGAGCTTTGTCGCCGTCTACTGCGCCGGTTTTGTGTCATTTGTACTTCTCTCTTTCTCCTCTTCACAATCAGCGACTAGCAGTCCCTATTAATTGGGTCTCCTTTCCTCTCCGCTTTTCAACTGACAATCAACCGCATTTTTAACTAGCGACAGCCTTTTGTCAGGCTATCAACCTCCTTCGCTGTTGAGTGACCAGAACACTGCACTGACAATGCCAGACGTTGTAATGATTGCCTTTAGTTCCTTGTTTGACAATTTTGCCACAACCCTTTCATTTCCCTTGTCTTTTCATTTTTCGACTGATTCTCCTAATTTAATTAATCAATTAACTAATGATTGTTTTTAATAATACAGCGTGAATGTCTTTCTATTCATCTGGGTCAAGCTGGCGTCCAGATGGGCAATGCCTGCTGGGAGTTGTACTGTCTCGAGCATGGAATTCAACCTGAGTAAGCTTTAAAAACGTATTGTTTCATCATCTAATCAGATAACATTTGGACTTACATTTTCCAGTGGACAGATGCCATCTGACAAGACTATCGGCACTGGTGATGACTCCTTCAACACCTTCTTCAGCGAAACTGGCTCTGGCAAGCACGTCCCTCGTGCAGTCTTTGTCGACCTGGAGCCGACCGTTGTTGACGAGGTGCGAACTGGAACTTACCGACAGCTGTTTCACCCCGAGCAGCTGATCACCGGCAAGGAAGATGCTGCCAACAACTACGCTCGTGGTCACTACACCATTGGAAAGGAGATTGTTGACTTGGTAAGTTGCAAGATTGGTAAACAATTATCTAAAGTAACACTTT